ACAAAGCCTCTCTAGGTTAATAAATATGTGTGATTAATATATATATATATATATATCTATCTTATTTTGGACTTGCACAAAAGTAACTAACCCATAAAGAATAAAAGCCACTTTGTTAAAAATTCAAGAAGCTGAAATAAAAATGTGATGTGATTAACATAATAAATGCACATAAAAGGTATTTTGACAGAAACAATAATATTTCTATGATGCCAAAATATGAATTTATAATTTACATCACAGAGGTGGAAGATTAGTATCCCCCATGATATATCCTGGGCTGAATAGTTAATCACAGGCTTTATTGAAACATTTGGGAGGAGATTTTAACCTGTATAACTGTCAAACAATAAAAATACAAATAAGGATCCATAATTGGCATTCATTTCATGGTAAAAGCAATACAATAGGACAAAAGTAATCAGAGAAACAGCAGGTGCCAATACTGAAGAAGTATTCCTTTTCAGTCAGTGGCCATACACTGCAGTATCAGCTCATACTCTACCAATTTATTAATGTAATTTGTGTCATGTGGCTATGTCAAGTGTGGTGAGACTTTTTGCTTTGTTTTGGGTTTTTCGTTTTTTTCAGGGTTGAAATTTATGATACTGTTCCACCACATTTGTGTAGAACAATACAGGAACAACTGGCTTATGCAGGTGATCCAGCAGCTTATTCCCACAGAAGTGGTGGTCTGGATCACACTGTGCCTACTAGACGTTTTCCATGAGAAGGACTGAAGGGTCAACTGAAACTTTGTGAAAGACAATGCAAATCCTTAAACTAACAGCAAACTCTGGGAAAATACCCAGTCAAGCAAGCAAGCAAGCAGCCAACCAACCAAAAAAAATCCTAACGACCAAAAAAATTCCCACCCAACACAATACACCAGATCAGTTCCGCGCACAGCTAGGGGGCCAAATCATGCGGCTGGCAGCCTGTCCTGCGCCTGTGGCACCCCCGCCGTGCCCCCCGAGCGCAGCGCGCTGCGGGACGCGCACGGCCGAGCGCGCCGCACCGGGAGC